AAGTGTTTATTAACAGTTGTCTGTGCAAAATACTTCGGATTCGTTGGCCAGACACCATTAGCAACAACGTACTGTGGGAGAGAACAAACCAGATTACAGTGGAGGAGGAAGAAATCAGGAAGAAGCGGTGGAAGTGGGTAGGACACCCCTGCTGAAAGCACCCAATTGCATCACATGAAAAGCTATCACTTGAAACCCTCAAGGTGAAAGGGAAAGAGGAAGGCTAAGGAACACATTACGCCGTGAAATAGAGAAAGATATGGGAGGAATGAACAAACATTGGACAGAATTGGAAAGGGAAGCACAGAACAGAGTTGATTGCAGAAAACTGGTGTGCTGCGTATGCTTTATTTGAGGTAACAGGCGTAAGTAAGTAATATACACAATAAAATAATTAATCATATTGAGTTGGTTTTTTCATGAGATTGATTAGAACAATTAATAACCCTGTTCAGTTCATTTATATTAATAATTATCAAAACAAATTAGTGACATTATTGAAATTCCCTTTTGTATATATATAATCTGTGCTTCGATACATTAATTTATATATAGAAATGTGTGTGGATATAAACGTCTACTTGAATGTTTGGTCATGGGTGTACAACAAACTCCATTTCTACACACACACATACACGCACACATACACGCAAACAAACATAGACACATACATCCTACGATTATAATTAAATTAATATTGAATAAATGAGTTTCAATGTGACATTGAACATGATGGTTGTCAATTTTTTGTTGTTGTTGTTGTTGTTTAAATCAAGTTGATTGAATGATTTGAGTTTTGGTATTAGTAGTAGTAGTAGTAGTGTAGTGAAGGCGAAAACAGGTGAGGGCAACCGAATTGTATTTAACGAAAATTACAGAGTTACTCAGTAAAATCGGAAAACCATATCGTAAATCGTTAATTTGCAAATCTGCAATCCATCATTAATCCATCATCAATCCATTGTCTGACATTTCACTTATTCATGTGTTTCATACAAATTCCATTGTGTTCTAACTCTTCCTTTCTTGATCTTCCCCCATCCTCTTCTGCTGCCAGACATTACGTTGACACTCACGTCATATACTACACTTATAAGTAGCTCACACCAAACTCGTCCCCCCCCCTTTTAATAAGCTGTAGTCGTAGTCTTTCTGATTGCCGTATCGCTGTCTTTGTTGGTGCTTTCCGTAACTCACACGCTTGATAATCTTGAAACCACCTCTGCAGTTGACTGGAATTCAGGCGTTTTTGGTTGTCTCCTTTCCGTATCGTGTAAACAGAGCCACCTCTCTCAATAACAATGTACGGTCCTTCCCATTTCGGGAGCAGCTTCCCTGATCCTTGTCCCCATGCTACGGTGCCTTTTGGTTCTCTGCATTTTACCAGGTCCCCGACTTTAAACGGCTTCCACTGCCTATTCTGCTGTTCTGTCGTTGTGTGCGACATCTGTTTCTTCTTTATATTGCTGACTAACTCCCTCCTCTCCTTCTTTAACCTTGTTGCCGTCCACTTCTGTTGTTGCGGCCATGTCTTATTGTGCATTGGAAGTCGCGGATGTCTCCCGTACATAAGCAGGAAAAGTGATTTCTTGGTTGTTCCTTGTATTTAGGCACGATGCGGCAGCAAGATTGGTGGTAATTCCTTCTCCCAATTCCCTCCTTTAGAGGCTAACCATTCCTTTAACGTCCGGTTGTTTCTTTCTGTAAGCCCGTTAGTCTGTGGATGATACGGTGTAGTTCGTATCCTCTTGATACCAAGCTGTTCCGAACGGGACTTAAACTCGTCACTTTCCAAACAGGGACCCTGATCAGTTAATATTGTTTTCGGTATTCCGTGACATGCCACAATGTGCCGGATGACTACTTCCGTCACTGTTTTTGCCCGCTGATCTGGAATTGGTACGGCGTCTACCCACCGTGTGGCATGTTCTGTCATCACCACCAGGTATTGATTGCCGCTGGCCGTCTGCGGGAACGGTCCCATCACATCCACTGACCATAGATCACCAACTGCAGTTACGGGAACTGACTGCGATGGCGGGTGTATGTATCGATTACTTTTCATTAGTTGGCACCGCTGGCAAGTCAATACATATTGTATCACATCGTCTCTCATGCCTGGCCAATATGCACTTTGTCTTACCAGATCAGTCGTTCGTGTGATACCTGTATGAGCTACCTGGTGACACTCCTGTATCATCTTATGTACACTTTGGCATAAATTGCCCCTCTGTCTACTAGTGCAAGAATCTCCTGATTCCTAGGGTGGAAAGAACACACGTTATAATGTTTAAAATATCGTCGTCGTCGTCTTCTTGGATAGTTTATCTTCCAATGTCCTGCCCCTCCACAGGTGTAACATTTATCGTTCCTTTTATGATCCACTCGTAATGCTGCTATCTCACGCTCTAACTCCACAATCTTCTTCTCGAAAGTATTTAGCTCCTGCTTCTCGCACCCAACCGGAGCTACTATTCGTGTCTTCAGCTGACGAGTCACCTTCGCCAGTTCACCGATGTCCATAGGTCGCGCTGCGTTTACTAGTCTCAGCTGTTGGTACAAGGCGGTAGGCATACTCTCGATAATTTGCGACGTCAACAACTGTGCCTCCGACTCTTCATCGATGTTCGGCAGCGCACGGCGCAACAATCTGGTGAGCTCCACAGCAAGTATCGGCGGGTCACCATCAGCCGACAGCCTCGCCAACCGGAACCCCTGCAGTGCCTCCTCCCTGTCCACTGGGCTGTCGAACTCCGTCATCAGCCGCCCGGTGACCGCCTTCCACGTCGTCTCCCCGCCAGCACCGTCCAAGCTGTCGTATACGGCCTTTGCCCTAACTCTCAGTAGCGTCCCCATCACCACCAACGTCGCTTTCGGCTCTTTCACATCCACCAGCTCCGCAAAGGCCTCAAACTCCTTCAGAAAGCTCCGCCCTCCTCCGTCCTCAAACTCCTTCGACCACGGAATCTTCACCCTTTGTGTAGGCAGCAACACCAAATGTAGTGAAGGAAAACATATGTGAGTACGACAGAATTGTATTTATAACAAATCACAGAGTTAATTGGTAAAATAGGAAAACCATATCGTAAATCGTTAATTTGCAAAATGTCAATACATCATATCGAACTGGACTGTTCCTGTTGCAAAACATCAATCCATTGTCACTATTCATGCGTTTCATACAAATTCCATTGTTTTCTAATTCTTCCTTTCTTGATCTTCCTGCATCTTCTGCTGTCAGACATTACGTTTACACTCACGTCATATACTACTTATAAGTAGCGCACATCACAGTAGTAGTAGTTTGTTTGCATAAAAAGAACATAATTTGATCGATTGAACATGTGATTTTGCACAAGTGATTATGTTTATCATACTAATTGGACATTGAGACCTGCTGAATGAATCGGAAATATTCGAATAGGGAATATTGTCAAAGGCAATTAGAACAAAGATTTGTGTTTGTTTAGTTAACTGCTTGTTACGTACTTCCTTACGTTTGTTACCCTCAATGGAGCAAAGGTTACTGACCAGTATTCTCCACTGTACTCTGTCTTGGTCCTTTCTTTCGCGTTCTGTTCAAATGTTGTTCACTCTTCTCATGTCTATCTCCATTTAGCAGCCTAACGCATTCCTTGGCCTTGAGGATTCCAAATGAGGGCTAGTCTTGTGACACAGTTAGGTGCTTTCCTCAATGTGTATCCTATCCACTTTATGATTTCTTCCTCTGCTGGAATCTGTTCAGTTCTCTACCATAGTATGTTGATGCTGATAGTGTATGGTCAACGAATCTAAAGTAGCGCGCAAAATCAACCGCTAGTACGCTGGTTAACTGCTTACAATCTGTAGTATTTTCAAAAATATCATTGTTACAATCTCGGTTTAAAATATTTGCATGAAAATAGGAAATACTGTAGATTTTTTGAGCGTGTTCTTTAAAAAGTCATTGATCAAAAGAATGATCTATTTTAAACAGTTCAACCACTTAACGTCTCTTGAGTACAGGACATCAGATTGATACCATTGCAATCTTCCAAGATAAGTAATCTACAGTCAAACTGTACTTTTCTGAAGTTTATTGAATCTGTATCCAACTTGCTCTAAAAAAACCCATATTTATCCGTTTAGAAACAGATGGTTGTTAACTATTCTTTACCTTAGTAAGAAATATTCATGGACTGATCAGTTGACCTTGAGATTGCATTTCCCACCAGGAAAATCTTTGGCTGTGATTGGTTGATGTGTTATTTAGTGTGCTATTTTTGTGACTCTCCTAAGGACGTTACTATGATGTATAAATAAACGTGATTTGTGTGTTTGAGATCATTGTGTGCTGGCTGGGTGTTTGTAGAATACAGTTTTCAAGCCATATCAAGACTTCTTCGTACCTAGTTTGGTGAACTCGTAATAGTTTCAAGAATGTCAATCGACTAGCATATCAATGGGCCAAAGCTGTCAACTAATGTCTGAGGAGCATCATAAATCTGGAAACACTGGATGGCCATTTCGTTCTAGTATATGAACCATTAACAGTGCGTATCCATGATCCACGCCCACAGCAGCCGAACCCATGATCTTCAGGTGTAGGTAGTTACGCACCGAATACAATGAGTGAGGTTGCAGTATATATCTCGGATTGTTTAAAATTAGATATTACCAATGCTGGATGCCAGCTCAATTGTCTAGATGTTCATGGTTCGTGCATGAGACCAACAGTTCTGGTTTTGATTCACGCTAGTGGGCATAGTGTATTCCCAATGCTGACGAGTCCTATTCTAGAACAAACCGAATTTCCAGTGCATCCAGGTTTCTAATGGTGTTCTAATAGAACTTCACAACTCCCTAATGGAAATAAATTTACAAGAACAGGAATCTCAGGAAAAAAATACACGAATTAAAACTTACCTATTAGTGACATTTTTAACAGTTTTAATTAAAAAGACTGTTACAACAACATGAGTTATTTACTTTCTAACTTCATTTTTTTCTCTCTATTCTAGACTTACTACTTACAATATTTATAAGTATATTCACATTATATTTAACAATATTTATTCTAATTGAATTTTGTACAATGAAACAAACCATGATATTGACCAATCAGATTTGTTCACAATCATGTCAATTGATCGATACAAATCAACACCATCCACCTCGTTGTCGTAATCATCATCATCATCAGCAGCAACAGCATCAGGATGAACCATATCATCTACAATCATTACATCGATATAATCAACTGAGATCATTTGAAACATCCTCACCGAATAATAATAATAAGAATCCTTATTATTATCAAACATATACTCAAAACTATTATGACAATCATGCAAAGAATGGTACTTACTTCACATCTGATCAGTGCAATTTAAATGAAGCTGCAAGTATTCACAATGATAATAATAATAATAATAATCTTAGTAATACGCTGAATTCATTCATCAGTCGTAAACAAGAACATTGCGTACATGAACCAACCGCACTATTGCATACATCAAACATCATGTATCAATGTGATAATAATATATGTCAAACTAAAGCCCACCTACATGATACTATTGAAGATCTGGATGAAATCAGTGTTGCAACACGTAAGTTTTTTTTATTGTTATTTCAGATAGAATGTATGAGAAATGAAATGATGACAAGGAAATTCAAGGTTTTGTATTGAAAAGAAAATAGTGGATTGTCTGTGTGAAACTGTAGGATCATAATCAGGAACTTGATAGAACTGGTCGGGTGTTTTGTGCTAGTATAGGAGTCATCAACAGTGAACATCTACAGACCTTAGACACACAGGAATTTAACATACACAATCGTAGGTCTCAAGTGAGAATGCTTAAACTCTAGACCATCGAGTCAGCATCCAGTCATGTTTATGTTTAACTTTTGATCAGTTTAAGGTTTTGTGCATCTTCATCCAATGTTTTCAGTAGTGACTATGTACACCCGACAGGGTTGAACTCCACTGGTCACGTTGTGGTGCGCGCTACTTATAAGTAGTATATGACGTGAGTGTAAACGTAATGTCTGGCAGCAGAACATGGGGGGGAAGATCAAGAAAGGAAGAGTGCAAACACAATGGAATTTGTATGAAACGCATGAATAAGTGAAATGTCAGACAATGGATTGATGATGGATTGAAGATTTGCAAATTAACGATTTACGATATGGTTTTCCTATTTTACTGAGTAACTCTGTAATCTGCGAAAGATACAATTCTATCGCCCTCACCTTTGTTCTCCTTCACTACAACGTTACGTTGTAGTGTGTCGATTTCGACGTTGAGCTCACCATTTGAGTGGTGACCTATATCACGTCAGGCTCACCATTTGTAGTGTGTTTATTCACTGCGTGTTCTTAAGCTTGGTAATTAGCTCGTCCATACAGTCGTTACTAAATAGCGTTTGACGGTTTATAAATCAGAAGGTGAACTCGAAGTGATGAATATGTCTATGTGAGACACACCGCAAACAGAACAGCAGACTACAAGAGCTATAAGATAAAATCGTCATGCGAGCGACGGAAAGCAGGCAACCGAGTGAATAGGCGAATGAACGGATGAAGTGATGTGTAGAAAGCTAGTGAGCCAACTCAAAGAAATAGAGCGTGACTAAGAATATATAGTCAGACAAATAAATATAAGACAGACATGCGACAAGTGAAATAGGCACACATGAATAAAAGCGACGAATAGTTGACTAGGTCAAATGACAAGTGGGACACGTCATGTGAGCTCATCATACAAACCAGAAAATAATAAGAACGAACGGTACCTATAAATTGTTGCAATACAAATGGCTTGGTTAAATAAATTAATCGAAACAGCTTAACCAAATTAAACATAAACCAACTGGAATATATGTGGAGGCACTACAACGTCACTAAGCTTCAGAAACTTTCCTCAGGATGCTAGTAACCAGCGTGTACATATAATGCTTTTTTCATCACAGAGTTATAGAGACTACTGTTCTCCGTTGACATCATGAATCAATCATTGTTAGATTACCATCAAAAACCCGAAAGCATTAGTCAGCCATCTCATCCTAACATGGGACTCTTCAACAGTTCACATCTACAAACCCTGCAAGTGAAAATCAAACCCAAAACCCTCGGTTTTTCACATGCGAACTATTAACAACTAGACCGCTTAGTCTGAAAATGATATTGTGGTGCTGTGGTGCGAACTACTTATAAGTAGTATATAACGTGAGTGTCAACGTAAAGTCTGGTAGCATAATATGGGGGGAAGATCAAGAAAGGAAGAATTAGAAAACAATGGAATTTGTATGAAACGCATGAATAGTGACAATGGATTGATGTTTGGCAACAGGAACAGTCCAGTTCCATAGGATGAACTGATCTTTTGCAAATGAACGATTTACGATATGGTTTTCCTATTTTACTGAGTAACTCTGTAATTTTGGTTAAACACAATTCGGTTGCCCCCACCTGTGTTCTCGTTCACTACATTTGGTGTCGCTGCCTGCTCGAGGGAAGGGGCTCCCGTGGCCGAAGGAGTTGCAGGACGGAGATTGGCGGAGCTTCCTGGAGGAGTTTGGGGCCACGGTGGAGCTGGTGGGGGCCTGGGGCGGAGTTGACGGTGCTGGGGACGCTGCGGGGAGGTGGGGCGAGGGCGGTACACGACAGCCTGGACGGTGCCACCGAGGAGACGGCGTGGGAGACGGTCACCGGGCGGCTGATAATGGAGTTCGACAGCCCAGCGGACAGGGAGGGGGCGCCGCAGAGGTTCCGGTTGGCGCGGCTGTCGGCCGATGTTGACCTGTTGGTACTTGCTGTGGAGCTCACCGGATTGCGCCGTGAGGAGTGGGCGGGGCACAGTCTTTGGCGTCGCAGTTTGTCGAGTGTGTGCCTGCCGCCGTGTTCCAGCATCGGGAACTTGTAAACGCTACACGTTGGATAGATGCCGTATCCATTCCAGACCAGTGATCAAGAACGATGACAGAAGTGGTAATCCGGCATATTGTAGCGTGTCACGGAATACGGAAGGTGATATTAACTGACCAGGGGCTCTGTTTGAAGGACTACGACGACAGCTTATTAAAAGGGGGGACGAGTGTGGTGCTGTGGTGCGAACTACTTATAAGTAGTATATAACGTGAGTGTCAACGTAATGTCTGGCAGCAGAAGAGGATGGGGGGAAAGATCAAGAAAGGAAGAGTTAGAAAACAATGGAATTTGTATGAAACGCATGAATAGTGAGTGACAATGGATTGATGTTTTGCAACAGGAACAGTCCGGTTCGATATGATGAACTGATATTTTGCAAATTAACAACGGTTTACAATATGGTTTTCCTATTTTACTGAGTAACTCTGTAATTTTCGTTAAATACAATCCGGTTGCCCCCACCTGTGTTCTCATTCACTACAATATTAGTGCCTAATTTCAATCATTCCACGATCTTGCATAAATGTTTTCGGTCAGTACTACTTTACACCAGACAGGTTTAAACTCCATTGATCACAACTTCTTGCTAGAACTCGGAGAAATATAATAATTTTTCATTAAACAGATTGTGCAATCCGTCTAGTGTTTCCAGAATTTCTAATAAAGGCCTAACATTGATCGATTCATGATTTCAGTGAAACTCAACAATCTCCACAACTCTAAGATAAAAACCTAATCAGATTTAAAATTTAAAAGGAACATTAACTATCTGTTTTTCCAATCACAGTGCCAGACAAAATCAATGCTCAGCTCTATTTCGGTACACTTGATTGATAGTGGTTGTAGTATAGATGAAACCGAATCATTTCGAGTGATCTATCGTACACCTTTATCATTTCGCTACAGAGTTTGATCCCGAATACTACATATACCAGAAGTCATACTAATCCGAACATTCAACCTTAATTTATGTATTCTGACGAAATTCATGAAACCGTAGTGCAATCCTTGGCTAGATATACCTCGATAAACGATTTCAATGTATTATTCTTGTTATTTTCACATCCTGCATTTATATTCTTCATCATTGGATTATTTCATTATTAAGCTCCCATTAGAAACCTGATAGCACTGGACGACCGTTTCGTCCTGGTTTAGGACTCATCAGTGGCAATGTGAGCATCCACTACCCCCCCCTCGCAGGTTGTCTACTCATCCAAGTTCGACCTACTAGTTTCAAAGTTGAATTATTGACAAAAACTGTCATTGTATTTTATTATTCTTACGACTTATAGTACACCAAACTTCATACTATCGACTAGTACTGTGGTGCGCGCTACTTATAAGTAGTATATGACGTGAGTGTAAACGTAATGTCTGGCAGCAGAACATGGGGGGGGGGGGGAAGATCAAGAAAGGAAGAGTGGGAACACAATGGAATTTGTATGAAACGCATGAATAGTGAAATGTCAGACAGTGGATTGATGATTGATTGAAGATTTGCAAATTAACGATTTACGATATGGTTTTCCTATTTTACTGAGTAACTCTGTAATTTGCGAAAGATAAAATTCTATTGCCCTCACCTGTGTTTCCTTCACTACAGTACTATTATCTATTACATAAAGATACGTAATCCATTTTATTTCTCATACCATCAATCAATCTACTTGTTTGCATCAACTTATTCTCATTTCAGAGATACCGAATTCGTTATTGCCAAAAATTGGAACATTAAACGATCCGAATCTGAGTGAAACAATTCTTTTAACGCCAAAATCAATGCCAACCCCCTACTCCTGTTGTTCTTCTTCACCCACCTCCTCCAAATATCATTTTCATTCACCGTATATTCGTTGGAATATCACCAATCGAATTCAATGATCAGTTCGTTATGATTGTATAAATCAAATGACCGCTGATAATTTTCTATAACTCAGGTTATCTGAATTATCTATCGACCCTTCATTCCATCGTACACAAATTGTTGTATTTAAAAGAAATATTATTATTAGAAATGATTTAGAATGGATTTCGATAATTTGTAATAAAATAAATCATTAGGAATTTTTAGTTCCCAGTTTTTTTATTATTGATGATTATGGTGACTGACTATGATCGATTATGTTTGTGTGTAATTTTAAAGGATTTTAAGATGTCATTGAAATGATGGACAAATATTTAGTTTGAAAAGATAAACTACTAATCAGTAATATATATGTTTATTATAAAAATTTTCGGTATCGACTTGATGTGGTGTCGGCTAATTCTGACTGTTGTTATTGATCGAAGGTCTTCATTTGATTTTCTAGATATTGGTCAGCGAATTCCACATACAGATTGGTTGCATGCTTATGGACTCTATGTACTACTCATCATCGAGTTCCACTAGACGGATAATAAATAAACTATTGTAAGTTTA